GGAGAAATGTGTGGGTTTCAGTTCTTATATTTAAAAAAGCAGAAAAGCTGATCAGAACTGAGTTGAACAACTAAGAAAGGAGGGAAAAATAACTACAGAAGACAGAAGAAATAACAGAAGACTAATTTAACAGTATACTACTACAGTTCACAGTAGAGCTTTCTGGGTGATGAAATTTGTAGTGCATTTGGGTGACACCACAGTGTGATGGACAGGTGCCTGAGCACTTAGCATAACCCACAGAACTATAAGAATTATTCAGCACAATAATATGAGTCTAAAAAAGAAAAGTAAAACAAAACAACACTATATTAACCAGGATTTGAGGGATTCTAAGATGGAATCCATACTGTGACAAAAGTACGATACAAGTTCCTTAAAGAAGATAGGGGACAAAAATTTCTGTCCTGTTGAACTTGAGAAAAATTTTGACTAGAAATGGGAAGATAATAACTAAGGAAAAACAAAGGCTGAACTGCAGTTGGCAAATTTTGAAACTGCTGCCAATATACAGTGGGTTGAACACCCATAGTGAATGGATGCTGAACAGTAGAGAGTAGAAGTCTGATTTTCTACTGCTGTAGAGAGAAGTTAAAGATAAGGAAGAAAAAAGAGGCTAAAATGAATATTGTGAACCTGGATAAGAGGTCTAGCTCTCAAATCAGTTCTTTGGTAATCTGGCATGTCTAACATGTACTGAAAAATTTGCTGTTGTTTCTTCCTCTGGGTTTTATCTTTGGAAGGCTCTTTAATTCAGTATTTCAGAAAAATTCAAGTAGCTTGGCAAGAATGGAAATCAACAGAGACTGATTTGGTGGCCTTAGTAACTACTCCCCAAGTTGCCGTGTGTCTTCTTATTTGCCGTGATGATGGGATTCATGGCTGGCTTTGGCTGTGATCTAGTTACTCCATTAGGCCTACAAGGTTTCCCAACAACATAGGTGAGGAGAATGGAGAGATTTCAGGAAATAGGCCCTGCTCAAAACCCATCTGTGATAGTGTGCAGCTAGGGCTGTGACTCTCAAAATTTGCCTGAGTACTGCCACTCTTGTATACAAAGATCACCAGGAAAGTCAGTAACTAATACAAGTTGAATACTTTCAATCCAAAAATCCAAAATCCAAAATATTCTGCAATCTGTGTTGGGTATGGTGGCACATGCCTAGATTCTTGACATTAGGGAGACTAAGAGGAAGAATGCTAAGAATTTGAGGCCAGCATAGGCTAATTAGTCAAAAAATGACCAAAAATCAATCAATCAAACAAACAAACAAAACCCCCCAAATACTCTGAAAATTGGGTCATGGTTTAGCCAGGATTAGGTATGCCCAACCAGTAAAGTTTATGCAAACATTCCAAAAATCTGAAAAACTCTGAAACCTCCCCAGAAGTATTTTATATAAGGGGTACTCAAGCTGTACTCTGTATATGAAATGCCACCATTTGATATTTAAACAGTGTTTTATCATTAACAAATATTTGTGTCATTGTTTGACCTATGTAGGAATGAAGGCATATAGATAGCATTTATGTTATCATGTTGAATACACAGGAAACTGAGGCAATGTAAGACTAGAACCAACTGCTCAGAGTCAAATAACTCATAAGCAGAAGAGCCAGGACAAAAACAGATGTTTCAATTCCTAGTTTACTGGTATTTTCAACAAACCAAGTCTCCTCTCTCTCATACTTTATCTCTGCTTTTGTTTTCTGTTGTTATAGAACACATAATTATTTGTACTGAGCTTGAGGATGGGTAGGTATAGACATTTTTGCTCAGAAATTTGTGTTAAGACATTTGAGGTTGTTCTATGCTTTCTCAAAGAATAGAAAAGATCCTTTTATGCATACTTAAAAGATATTCATCAATATCATCCTCCTGCTTCTCTGCATCCAGCATATAGGATAAAATCTGTTCAGTCAGCCACATTACGTTGCTTATCCTGTCTGCCCCACATTTAAGCTTCCACATTAACAATTGATGTGACATTTATACTTGAATTTAGTTAAGTCATACAACGAAGGCCAGAATGAAGGAGCAGTGAAAATTTCTGATGATTCTATTTGATGGAGTATCTACAATGCTATTTAAAAAAAGGTCTCTAAAATTAGAGGCAGGAAGTCGAGGTATAATTCTGAAGAGATGGTCAAGGGGAAACATTATCATCCATGAAGCAGGAAGTATCAAAACATGATGATTTGATGATGCCCATAAGGTTGTCCACTACTGTCGTATGATCTAGAATTCATGGAAAATAGGGATTATTTTATATATACTACTGTAATGTTGTACTCTTGTCCCTTACACTTCAAAGCCAGCACATCCGAGATGTCCTTTGTAAGGCATGTAGCAGCTCTAAAAGGACCCTACTAAATGGCAGACGAGTTGGTGAATATATTGCATGCCTCACATTATTAAACTGGGACACAAAAGCCATTTTGTGTTGCTGCTTTAGTTTCTGTCCTCAGCCTGACTTACAAAACCAAGATGTATAAGAACAAATATCAACCTAGAACTTTGCCCTATCCCACATTGTCTCAGAAAGTCTCTTTTCTCCTTCCTGTCAGTCCTTGGGGCACCATCACCAAGTGAGTGGCTGTGCTATTCATGGGTATGTGCGGCTACCATCCTGCAGGAGTGTGTCGGTTTCTGTCCTTGACTCATTTTTTCTTTCTTCCTTTCTTTTTAACTCTCTTCCTCAGTCTTGGGACCAGCCAGGCCTCTTATCTTTAACTCTGTTCTTTTATTTCTGAAACACTCAGAGTGCTATTCAGAGATGTACCACACAGAACACACACACCTAGAGAGCTCACCACTGTAATGGAACGCACTCTCTGAAAAAAATTCAAATCCCAACAGCACTGCTGTCCTTCACTTCAGTCAGTAACAAAAGGCAATCTTTCTTTCTATTGAATTTTTGTCAGAGGTGGTTCAGGTAACGAGAAAAATGACTCTCTGAATGTATGTCTTGACAGATGTAAAAATGATCATAAAAAAGACGTCAGCAAACACTGTAGAAAGACTTGACATTGACAGCATTTTTAACAAAAGTCTGTATCAACATCAGATGCTGCAGACATGGACAAGAGAAGCGTACTTTTAGAAGGGGAAGTTGCTAAGATCTGGTTATTCTATTAGCAAAGAAATTAGGAATATAATTACATACACATGGAGACATTTTTACATAGAATGTGTTAGTCTTGCTACCTATTTTTCCACATTTTTCCTCTCCTCACAATTTATGTCCTTGTGGGCTGCATGACAAAGGGAAGTACAGTAGGATAATAACAGTAATCAATACTTGTGCAGTTTTTATAATCACCCCACCTAATTATACCATGTACAATAGAAATTATACATTTCTATTTCTCCTCTTTATATATGGGAACTCTGAATTTTGAAAAGGTTTAGTGATATGCCCAAAAGTTTGCAAATTTTAGCATCAGGATTCCAGGAGACATTTTTTGCCTTTTTATTCTTTCATTGTGGCAGCAAGACATTACTAAATATTTTCTCTCTGTGTAACTTACAGGAAACATCATAACCTTAGCTCATTCTGCACAACTTCCACCCTAAACTGAGGTCCAAATTTCTTTATAATCAGCACTTCTCTTTTTCTTAAGCTACCTGCCACTTACTGTGGAATTAGAAACAGACTCAAATTTCTACTCTAAACACAGGGCTACCTATGTGCATGTTTTAACTTTTTTAGAAAATAGAGTTAATGTGTAATGTTAAGCAAAAAAATGCAATAACATACAAATATACCTTAAATTACATGTTGTTATTTTAAAGAAAACAACAGTTTCACAGAATAAAGGTAACTATAGCAACCTCTGATTCAAATCAGTCTGCCTCTTAGGCGGTGGTGGCAGTTCATGGGTGCCTCAGTAACTTTCCATTAGAACGTGGCTCAAACATACATATTTTGGGGGGTCCATTAGCTGAATTTCCCATTTAATGTTCACACTTTAATTCTTTCTTTCTGTATCAGTGACTGAAACATTTCGATTAAGCAATGTTTCACTGCAGTCTTCCCATTCCCTTTCAATTCAGATATCCATTAGTTAGGAGGAATTAAAGCAGAGCCAAAAGATAAGAGACAGCTTTAGTAACCTGCTGACACTAGCTATCAAAAATTAGACATCCTCACCATCCTTGAACCCTACATAAGCATAAGCAAAGTGCAGAGCATTTAGTTTGGGATATTGGGAAAAACTATAATTGGTAATATTTCCTAATTTCCAAGCAAGCCTGGTATCCAAACCTGAATAGATTGTAACACTAGGATAATCTTTTTTTTTCTCTTTTGTAGTATTGGGGATTGCACCCAGGGATTTCACACTGATGTATGTCTCTGGCCCTTTTTAAATTTTAGACAAGGTCTCACTAAGTGAATAAGTTGCCCAAACTGGGCTTGAATTTACTTACCGTCCTCCTGCCTCAACCTCTCATTTTTTTATACTGTGGACTGAGAAGTGGCAACAGCAGGGACTAGAACAAATATTTACCTACAAACATATTCTAAGTGCGTAAGTGGGAGAAAGAGCTGGGAGGAGATTCAGCATAAAACCCATAATTTAACTTGTCTGATCAATGAAAGTTTATTCTATAAAAGAAAAGCAAAAATCCTTTGCTGTGCAGTGATTATCAATGAATTCTTCCCAAACATACATAAGCGTTATAATAGAAATCATCTATTACACTTAAAACAGGAAGGATTCCAGTACTAAGTAGCACATAAGAACTAAAAGGCAAATCCTACTCTCCTAGACATTTTTTCTTTCTGTCTTTCAAGTGGTTTTGCAAGTAAAAAGAAACAAAGTGCAGCCCACCTAAATCAACAGTATATTGATGTACATTTTTCCTTTGTGTTTTGTTTCTTATAAGAAGTGTTTGCTATTTTAAATCTGTTACTAGGTGATAATGGCAAAGCACATTTTTCTCTTTTCCAGAGTCAACCTTATACATTTCACTTTGAATTTGCAAGGCAAAATACCTGTTGCCGTGCACATGAGAGGCACAGAATGCAAAGCTGTAATGGAGCAGGGTTGGGTCAATGACAGCACCGTTTTCTGAATGTTCCATCAGTTCTGTAAGGTAGCAGAGATGTCTATGACAGCCTCTCACGCCATAACGGGCACAGTACTCATCTAACACAAAGACTTGGCCAGGGCTAAACCATCCCTGCAAAAGAAAAGAGGCAGAGAGAGAGAGAGAGAGAGAGAGAGAGAGAGAGAGAGAGAGAGAGAGAGAGGGGATTTTTCTCTTTCTATACTAAGATTAGTGTTTCTGCTTGTCTGTAGACACTTTTAGCCAATGTAAAAGGCAGCTTAAAAGTGTCTTTTGACATTGATTTTGTTAGTGATATATTTCACGTTATTTTCAGAAGATTTATTGTCATCAACCATCAACTTCAGAAATGGTTTGGGACAATGGAAATCGAATACTAATTTCTCCTCACTGCCCCAGCAAGAAACGGGCAACTTGCTTTTTCTCTCTCCTGTCACTCAAAATTAGTCAAATTTATTCACAGGAGCTACATTTGTTAGCTGCAAAGAACGTTATTTGAAAAACCTCAGTGACTCTATGGATCAAATGAGAACCAAGACTTGTCATGTAGAGGTACAAGATCCCAACAATGAATGTAACTGTACTGTATCCCTAAAATGTACCAGTAAACTCAAAGCTGAAAAAAAAAGGAAAAAAAAAAAAAGAAGATGGGAAGGCAGACACTATCACTGAAGCTCTCTATTTACCAAAAGCATTTTATACAGTGAATAAAGGGAAAATTTCAGTAAGAACAGGAGTGGCATAAAAGTAAATGTAGGTATTTTCATCATTCAGTGTATGATTAATATAACAAAATCAACATTTTACAGTAGTAGTCTCTGACTCTCCTGAAATAAGGTGTTCGAATGTATACGTGCATGCTATCTGAGGCAGCAGGAGAGCAGAGCAGAGCAGAGCAGAGTTAGGGAGAATGGCTTATAAAATATCTTGGATTAAATTCATTTACGTAGACTAACTTAAAGTAACAAAGAAAAAGAAAGGAGAGAGAGTTTTAAAAAGAAACAGGGTAATCATCAAAGAGAAGGAAAAGGATAAGAAAGGGAGAAAGATGAGGAGGCAACAGATAAACGGTGGAAGAGGGGGAAAAGGACTCACCATAGTGATGGTAAAGGTACTGTACTATACATGCTACACATATTATAGCTTTAATATATTAAAGAATCTATATATGTATTTACAATATACACAGAAACAACTGGCTCTAAATATTAAAGATATTATATATAGAATATGTATTTGTTATACTCTCCATGTAACAGATAAATAAGCTATAGTTGAGAGATGCTAGGTGAATTATCTGACCCCAGTATAAATCATTTGGTAGCTGATTTATATCAGGGTTATCCTGCCTTCAAATACTCTTTTTAATCACATCACATTCTGACCCTGTGGGTGTAGTGGAAGACATACTGTAGCGTTCTCCTCATAGCCATCAAACAAGTCAAAATAACACCTGGCAGCCCAGTAACTCAGCTGTTGGAGTAGAATCCAAGAGGAAGCTGCTCCTTACTGACGTTCATTCTGTATGTGCTCATCCCCACAAAGGCATCACAGAGCTCGGTGACAATCTGTTTTACTCTCCATATAATTGCGATATGTAAGCTGGATCAGGTTTAAACTGTACAATTCGTGTAGAATATGAGCTCCTTAATAAACCATCTCCAAGGAACTACTGAAGCGTCAATGCGATTATAGCATCTACTGAAGTCGTTCCAATGAGCTGGGAGCACATGCTGTCTAAAACCTCATTTAAAGAGAATATAACTTACTGTTTGAAGTTATTATGTTCCAGATCTAAGAGAGTGAAGTGCTAGTAGAAATATACATTTTGATAGAACAATTCCAGAAGAACCACTATTTCCAATATTTTTGCCTACTCTTTCAACACATACCAGATAGCAGTCTAGTTATTTATTTCCCTCTGCCTTTTCTTTTTCTTTTTAAGGAATTCTGTTCTCTGCCAGGCTTGATGAAACCTTCCTCTGTTATACATCATATTGTTCATCCCATTGCCTTTTCCCTGTGATTTAAGTTTTCCTCCCAAGATGCAAAAGGAAATGCAACTTATTAACATATGGTAAATATTTGTGCAGGTGTTAGTAAATCCTGTAATTGAGGTTTTTTAAATCTTTATTTAAGGCCTTCTGTTTTCACTCAGCCTTCTCTAGAGGAACTGATAAAACAGTTCAGTGTCTATTTAAGTCCATTCTCCTATCTATTGAGTGGCACAGCAGTGGCCTCCAAGTGTATAATTTTCAAATTGGGAAGCAATCGATTGGAATCCTTTATCCTTTACTCCAACTACAGTTATTAAATGAGTCAGGAATAAAATGCTACTTGATAACAAGTATTTCTCACTTTTTAAAATCTTTTATTCTAACCTATAGTTGACCGGACAGATAGATGTGTACTCACCAAACAAGAATAAGAATCATTCAGTCTATGATCCAAAGTCTGCCTCTGGAGTAGTCTAAAAAGGAAGGCGTGGTCAAGCTTGCAAGGATTAGCAGAAATAAACTCATCCATACCGTGTTTCTGAAAACGATCTGCATCTGCAAATTTAGAAAAACAAGTATATTGCACATGTGTTTTTCTGGTTTAATTCATGCCACCTAATAATAGAAGACTATCATTCATCCTATAAAATATGGTGCAAATAATTTAACATTATTAAAGATGGCAAATTTTTGAACAAAAGTGACGGAAAGTCATTTAGAATGAAGAAATTCTATTTTTCATGCAGTTAATTCTAATATGTCAGAGGAATAATCTAATTTTTTGACTTAAAAAAGTTGATGTATTTTAAGTATATATTTACTGAAGAAAGTGACTGGAAAAGAACTCAGTTCTATTCATAAAAAGATAACAGCAACAATGGCCAAAAGCTTGCTTTTGAAAAGGCAAACTAGGGCAGAAATGAACACACAAGCTTCTGCTGGATCACTTCCAGTCTTCTTTTTGAATGGGACTTTTAATGGGACCAAATTTAATGTGGAAATGGCAGTGAATGCTCTCAAGCTTCACGTTTGAGAGACATAAGAAAGGGAGCATCACGTTTGTGCAGATATGTAGACAAAGCACAACATCTCAAATGGCACTTCAATCAAAGGACCAAATTTATTGTCCTTTACAGATTGCATCTTTCAACGCCTGTAGACCCTGCGGGTTTATCAAAAGGCAAGCATGATTGCTTTCATCAATGGTATGTTTTGTCAAAGTCTTCAATGTGATTGCTAAACATATAGAGAAGAAGCCACACACTACCCAAAAGGAGTGCTGGCGTGTTACTACATTAGCTCTGTTAGAAACATAGCACATATCGGGCAAGCAATCAGTTATCAAGATGAAAGTGGACTCTTCTCACAATGGCAATGTTGAAGCTCCATTGTTGTTTAAAATTTACAGATAGATCTCTGTCTGGTCACCATAAGAAAAGCAGAGTCCTAAATTGTAAGCTAAGTGTACTTTCTAAAACCTACAGGGTACAGTTCTAAAACAGTAAAGCAAAAGAGACAAAAGTTATTGATTAAACCCAATTATAGAGTCAGGCTCATAATAAAACCCAATATTGATCTGTGGACATGATGCTAACATAATCAGTCACATTTAGATATTTAGCCCAGATCATATTGATCCACGTCAAGTTCAACTTTCAGCCATATTTGTAGATGGCAGAACTATATAATTCAAACTGAAGGGTCTCAGAATCACATTTTAAGAAAACAGATACAAAAACGTATGTATAATCCCACATTAGTGACAGATATCAAAAGGTGAATGAAGCAAAGGAGCAACAAATGACACTTGATCCATGATCCATGAAGAAAGAACACATTTATTCCTTTATATTTAATATTTAGTTCCTTGACTGATTAAATACACTATGTGTGTATAAATTAACATTCACTGGATAAACATAAAACTAAACTGCTTTTCCTGAACTGAGACATGACATAATCCATTTTTTCCTGTATTTTATTTTTCTCTGTGATAATCTTTAAATATGAAGCTTAATATATAATATAAAATGATATCAAATGAGTAAGAGGCCAAATGTCAAAAAATGCAAGGAATATACATGATAAAAATGAAAGATTATTTTGTATTTCAATTTATCTTAGAATCTTCATTTCTAAGTAAAATAAAATATCAGTATAAAATTATTTTAGTATCATTTTTATGAAATAATTATAACACCTGCTAAATTTTATTATTTTATAAAAGAAGGTAATAAAAAACAGTTGAAAATAATGCCCATCAATGCCTTATCTGTTGAGAATAGGATATGTAATAAATTTTAGAGAAAAATATCTATAATTATTTTACTATGAAGATCTGTAGAAGTAATTATTTTCTTTTTAAAACAGTGGGCAAATTAAGTCTTTAAATAAAGCATACAAGTTTCTGAAAAAATGAGACTACAGTTTATTTCTATAATTTAAAGAGTAATTTCATGAAATTCAATTCTACAACCATATATTTAGTAATGTGACAGATCATATACGTAAATAAAATTAATTTTCTAGCAATTATATTGGTGTTAGAAATGATATTTAAAATAGTAATTTAGGGCACAAGACAGGCAAACCAACCCACTAAATTAAAAGCAAAAAAGATAACTGCAACTTCTCCAGGGCAATAATTTTGTGAAAGTGAAATATGTTCTAAGGGATTATCTCATCTTCAAAACATAGGAGAAAAGACTAAGTAATCTTTTTTTTTTTCCTCTCTGAGTCAGACAAGCACAATTCAAAACATTTTATGAAAAGATATTTTAACCATGTGTCTGTATGCCATTGGCTTCATTCACTCACAAATAAAAATAAACACCAAACCAAAATTTCTGATGTCTGTGTACAAACCTTTTATTTATTTTTGGCTACACTGCAGTAAAATTTTATTTTCCAAACATGAGTATTAGGTGTAGTTTGTTGGACCTTGTTTTAAGCAAAAATAATAGCAATATACATTGGCGTTTATAAATACTGAAAAATAAAATGCATGAAAAAACTAACATGGAAGCCAGGAAGGGAGAAAAGATAAAAAAAATAAAGTTCATTTTTGTATACCTGAGGTTTGCAATATGTTATGGAACACATAAAGAGACTAAAATGGTTTCTTAAGTGAATCACATTAACAGACCACAGAATAGTTTTGTGATATGAGCAGGTGAAAACTATAAAATTAGCTAATGCGTTCTAATGTTGCTATCTCTAGTTCCCAGGTTGTTCATTAGATCTTTAGACTTGCTTATGATATATAACTGTCACTTTGTATTCTTTAATCTGCATCTTCCCATTTTTTGCCCTTATCTTTCACTTTTAAAGTTATCTCATGACCTAAGATAAAATAGGAAACCATCTAGCACTAAAATATTTTTATCTAGTTTATTATTTTTACAGAAGCATATTTTCATATAATTTTTTCTTGACATATTTACATTTTACTATTAAAAGACAGAGGCATCATCTAAGTCAGATGGAAAGCACACTTTCAATCATATCTAAATCTAGGGCTGTAAAACTGGGTTGTATCAGATTCTCTTCAATTAATGCTTATTATAAGACTATATTACGGTTACTATTATTTAAATGGAAAATTATTTCTGGTGCTATTCAAATGCTCTCTGATCATGGCAAATTTCAGTTCACTTTGTCTTCTGAAAAAAACTAAGAACATTATCAAAACAAGCCAACAAGAAATGAGCTTACACAACGTACTGCAGTACTGCTGTAAATTGTGATGATTAACCTATGGACTAACTACAGATGTGGGACATGGTAGCTGAGGATACGGGTGGAGTTTCTATGGTAACAGTTGGATATATATGCTCCAGCATCTTTAGGTGGTGCAGTCACCAGGTGTGTTAAAAGTGGATAGAATAAAGCCCAAATTGAGAAAGATTTCTATTTGCTAAAGATTTAAGAAGTTATAGAGGCTTTACTCAAGTGGAACCTGAAAATTTAAATTTTTCATTAGGATCACAGCAGTGGGAAGTCAAGAGGAAAGAATAAGTAGGTTGACAATATCAATTTAAACACTTAACACTGACACGATAAAAGCTAGCACAGAAAATAAAATATGAGGATTATGAGCAAGCTGGTCAGCTCTGCAGTGGCAGAAGCTGGTGGGTATAGATTCAGGAATCGAAATCCTAGGAGAGGCATCCCAATCAGAGTTCAGAAAGTGAGATGGAAAAAAAATTAACCAAATTCTTTCTTTGCAACAAATGTTAATTATGTAGCATTTGTGTTGCTCCTGCTAATGTGATATATTTTAGACATTGAAAGTGAAGAAGAAAAAAAGGAAGAGGGGTACTGAAGGGAGAAAAGGAGGACTTTCAACAGCATTCTGAGATCCCTGAGGTGCAGGGCATTTGGGATCCATTGTTAAAAAAGGACAAGGAAGATGCACCTGGCCAAAAGAGGGTCTCCTCTGTAGACACCGAGTGAACTACACAGTAAATAAACCTTTTGAACTACAATATAATATATTGTTCTGTGTTTAGGTGTTTGCCTGTGGCTGAGCGTACTGTCATCATGCATGATCAGATTTTTTTTAACATTATACTCACCAAGCTTAAGAATTTATAGGAAGTTAAAAGTGGAAACGAAAAGGAAGCACTACTTCTGTTTTAATTTCACTCCTTTAGCTTTCAATAGGAAGAGTTTCATGGTTTAAATTTTATGTAGGTCAGTCTGGTTAGTATATTTTTGTTTATGTATGCAAATTTTCTGCTAAAGATGACAAAGTCATGATTGAAAGATACATTATTTAGGAGTTTGTTCACACATCAATTACTGAATCAAAAGATGTCTCAGCTTAAACTGGTTAAAATCTGGTTTGTGGATTTATGTATTTTGCTTTCTGCAGTAAATATCACATATTTTCAGAAGATGAATATTTTAATCAAAGTACTGAGATCTAGAATCAGAAATAAGCAAAGTAAACCAATATTGAACATTTATCAGAAACAATATGTTCAATGTAAATTAAGACTAATGTTTCTCCTATGAAGTGTAATCTTTAACATATTAGATCAATTTGGGAAGTAAATTCATAAATTGAAACATAAATTTAAAGTTTAAGAATTTAAAACCAAGTATATACTGGCTTTTCTAGTTTGTTTTTGATATTAATTTATTATTGGCTGTGAAGTACTGTTACATTGTACTATGCAACATTCACAATTGTGTTATACTATGCGTATAACTAAGAAAATGGAAAAAATGTGTGTAGTCTGGCAAAAGCAGAGCACAACATGTGAAGAAAACTTGTTTAGCAGGGAACCCACCAATCGGCCTTCCTTAGAATTTCTACGTATCGAGGAGAAAGGGAAAGTAGAGTAAGTTCCCTTATCAGAGAAATCTGTATATTATTACCATATCTTAAGAAAGATCAGGCTGTCTTTTCATAAGTTAGGTTTCATACATTTATAACTTTGTTCTGACTATCCTAGATTCAGCATACTTACTTTTAAAAGCTAGCTTTTTGGGGGAGGGAGAGTGGAGGTGTGGCTCAGTGGTACAGGGCTTAGCTTGTACAGGCTTTCAGTTCAATCTCTAGCACTGCAAAACCAAACTAATAAACTTAATGGCGGGGAGAACCCAACCCAAACCAAACCAAATCAAACCCCTGAAGAACTGGATTTCAAGGTGGCACAGGCATGATATCCCTGCACTTGGGAGACTGAGGCAGGAGGATCTCTTTGAGTTTGAGGCCAGCCTGGGCCATATAGTGAGTTCAAGGCCACCCTACACTACAAGTGAGACCTTGTCTCAAATCAAACAAACAAACAAACACACATTAGGCTTAAAAACAAGGTATATATTTACTTCAAAGAAAATGTAGGAATTAGAAGAAATAAATGTAACTAGTCTGTGCAATTAAACCCAGCAACTGAATTTTTTTTTCATTGAGCTTATTTGGTACTTTTTAGGTACATAGTACAGCTACGTTCATCACTGGGATCTTGTACCTTTTCATGATGTATCTTGATTCTTATTTTTTCCCATTCCCCTCCCCTCTCTTCACCCCTTCCATCCTTCCCTATTTAGAAAAACTTTGTTTCCATTTTTCCCTTTTCCCTTCTTTCCTTTCCCCTACTGCTCCCACTTCCTCTACTCCTTTAGCTCTTTTCTTCCTATTTCACATTATCAACTGAATGTTTTAGGTGTAAATTTACCTATCCTTTTGTTTGTTTCTATAGTACTGGGGATTGAGGTCAGGGCCTTCTCACTGAGCTACACATATCCACAGGCCCTGCCCACTCTCCTACTTCCCTGCATTTTTGAGACAAAAAAAAATTAAACAAAATGAAAAATGCTAAGTTGCTAGCTAAATTTTCCAGGTTGGGCTGAAACTTGAGATCTTCTTGCTTCAGCTTCCTAGAGTGTTAGTGAGCTACCACACCTGTTGGCCTATTATTTTTCAGTTTTTTTTCACATAATGAAAATAATCGTATATATACAATTTAGCATTTTTCCACTTAGCATACATTGACCTTTTTGTATGTTATTACAACTTCTTCATAATTACTGTCCCTGTGCCTGCATGAATGGTATATATTAGGTAGCTCCTTATTTTCTGCTGTGTTGCACAGACATTTTTGTTGTACAAATGGTAAAGGCATGTTTTCTAGGTTGGACCAGGAGGTAGAATATTGACACTATAATCCAGATCATAATCTTTAAATAAAATTGTAATATATCTAAGCAAAAAAGCCATGAAAATTACTTACCTTTACCAGCTATAGGTCAGCATAAAAATGAGAGAACACATTTAAATGGGTTAGGGGCACATATATTTGCATTTAATATCACTTTAAATTTTGTTATTTTCTCAATTCTACTGATAACACTAAAAGTTGTTCTAAGAGATGATCAAGAAAAGAGAAAGGGAATATTCAAAAAATAAGTAATGAACTAGAAATTGAGCTAGAAATCCTCCTTCTGCTGCCCCTTTCCCTCCTGCGTTCCTTCTCTTTCCATCCCTACTCTCCCCTCCCTATAACAGAGAGACACTTTGTTATTAAAAACTTCACTAACAATCTGGAATAAGACAGCTACCGTTAAAAACTGAGAACTGCTCAGCATTTTCGTTAGAATAACTATGTCCAATTTCATGTAGCTTGATCAACACTGCCTTGATAATAAACTGATATCAAATCAAAGACAGGTTTGGTTAGAAATCTGTTACATGGATATCAAAACCAACCTACTATTTAGGTCTTTTAATTCATGAATTCCATATTGTCCAGCAAGGGTCTTAAGGCTCTAGGCTATGATCTCGACCACTTTTCTTGCCAGGATATGCAAGGTAGATGATACATGAGAGCTCAGCCCATTCCTTGGGTACTCCTTGCACTTAGAACGTTGGAAAAACATTCAAGGATACAGTGAACGAACTTCACTTCTACCCCCTGAAACATCTGGCAGCATCTGAAGATATGAGTATTTTTGGTTGTCAGATCTGGCGGGAAGCAACTATTGTACTGGAATCTAGTGGGCAGAAGCCAGGGATGCTGCTAAATATTTCCAAATGGACAGGAAAATCCCCTACTCCAAACCTCTGGCCCCAAACAATTATCTGTATGAAAGCATTAATAATGCTGAAGTTGAGAAGACCTGCTTTACCCAGGAAAAATAACTCTTTTATCTGAAGTGACTAAAAAATCTAGGGGGAGGGGATCTATATCTAAAAAATCCTCAAAACACCACACATGAGGCAACACAGGCAAGTGATAACTGAGAGATGGAAGCAGAAAAGATGAACCTTAAATTTCCCCAGATGACTGGCAAGAGGAACTCTAGGGGGCACACAGGGAATACTCCTAATTTATAGTTTATTGGTTAGAACATCAAGAAGGATCTTGGTACCAAAGTAGGAGAAACTAATGTGAGACTAAATACTGCTGATTCCATCCAAAGCCTGAGAAAAAAGTTTTTAAGAAGGTTGAATATGTACTGCAGTGCAGAGTTCAGAATATTTTAATGAAGAAAATGACATGAAGGCACACTATAATCTAGCATCAAAAAGCATATCTTTACAGTAGCTAGAAGAGATAAAAGACATGTACAGAGGAAAAAACTGCAGCGGCCACATATCTATCTACCTTTGGAGAAACAAAATTTGGGTTAGGAACAAAATTTTTAAAGCACAGAATGTAAAGTATGTTTCAAAATAGAGTAAAATGTCTGAGAAATAGATTAGCAAATAAAAATAGAAAGTCATTATATTCACATATAGTTACCCTATTGCACACCAAGTTCTGATGGAAATTCTTATCCACAGTCCCATACTCCATGTATAAAGCCAAAGGAGCAAGGGGAAGGCAGAAATGAGAATATATACCATAATACATTCCTTTAATTTTATCTTTAAAAATGATAAGTATACTAATGATTTTTATAACCTACTAAAATGTTCAATATTTAATATTGCTAAATAGTCCTTTTCTTTTATTGAATTTATTGGTACATTTTAGGTATACAGTACAGTTACATTCATTATTGGGATCTTGTACCTTTACATGACAGGTCTTGGTTCTCATTTTTTCCCCTTGTCCCTGCCCTCCCTTCATCCCCTCCTCCCCTCCTCATTTACAAACACTTTATTTGCCTTTTTTCATTTTCTCATATTTTTTTCTTTGCCCTTATAACCTTTCCCCTACCCTTCCCACTTTCCCTACACCTTTAGCCCTTTTCTTCCTATTTCACATGGTCAATTATCTCATTTGGATCTTATGTACTATTATAGTTTATTCACACCAGAGAGACTATTCGGTATTTACACATGTGTGGCTTATTTATTTCACTTAGGAGCATATCTTCAATATATATCCATGTTCCTATGAATGAATCTAATTTCTCATTCTTTATGGCTGAGTAATATTCCATTTTATAGAAAAACCACATCTTCTTTATCCAGTTTCCAAATGATGGACAAATGGACTGTTTCCAAGTTTTAACTATTACAAACTGTGCCTCTATAAACACTGGTGTGCATATATCACTGTGATATGATTCTTTTAATTCTTTTGGAAAGATACCCAGCAGAGGGATGGCTAGGTCAAATGGAACCTCTAGTCCCAGCTCTTCAAGGTATCTCCATATTGATTTCCATAGTGGTTGCACCAGTGTGCATTCCCACCAACAACAGAGAAGGGTTCCTTTCTCCCCACAACCCAACCAACATTTGTTATTGTGTGATTTCTTGATAGCAGCCATTCTTTGTGGGGTGAGGTGGAATCTAAGTGTTGTTTTCATCTGCATCTCTAGAAAGACCAGTGATGTGGAACATTTTTTCATGTATTTACTTGCTGCTTTTACCTCTTTGTCTGAGAAATGTCTGTTCATTTCAGATGCCCATTTTTGAATTGGGTCTTTATATTTGGGGGGGTGGTTGTTTTGAGTTCTTTATATATTCTAGATAATAGTCCTTTGTCTGAGGAGCAGTGGGTAAAAATGTTTTCGCACATTGTAGTTTGTCTCGTAGTTCTGTTGGTTTCTTTTGCAGTGCAGAAGCTTTTTAACAGGAAGAGATCCCAGTTGATTCTTTCTGCTAGTTCCCATGCTACTGAGGATTTCTTCATAAAGTCTTTTCCTATGCCAATGTCTTCCAGAGTTCTGCCTAACTTATCTTCCAGCAAATTTAGTGCTTCTGTTTTAATATTTAGATCTTTAATCCACTTGGATTTTAATTTAGTGCATGGTGAAAGATAAGGGTCTAGTTTCAATCTTTGGCAGGTTGAGATACAGTTTTGCCAACACCTTTTATAAAAGAGGCTATCTTTCCTCCAGTAATTTGAAAACTGTGGCTCTAATGAAAATAAGATAACCTACAAATATGGTCTGTGGTTTTTTAAAGGAAATACAGGAAATGCTCGCATTCCATATTTAATTATTTGGTCTAATGTGCCTTTGAGATGCTCAGATGTGATACTGAAGGGTGTCTACAAAGGAAAGAGGGTAGTGATTTGATGCATAAAAAGTAAAAGAGGAAAATAATGTATGTCAAGATGTTACTACCCTGGAGAAGAATCTTGACAATAAAAGGCCACAATTTGAGCTTAAACATAAAGACAACTGATTTATGAAAGAAAAGCCAGAGTAGTTTTCTAAAGGAGGACAGGAAGTTACAACATTTGGTTATCGGTTATTAAAACTATACTTGAAACCCCCCCAAAAAAAAACTATACTTGAAAATTTCTACCATTATACAAAACTTGCTATTTATCACCAGTAAATTAGAATGAAAAATATGTGTCTTAATGATTTAAATTTGCATACAGAAAATGACAAAATATTAAGGTATTTGGAAAAAAGAAAGTTGTCTTTTATAGTTAAAACATTGTACATTACCAAGAACAACTCTAGAAAGTGATTATTCATTATTTAACATTCTGGAATATTATTAATGCAAACTTGATTATGCAATGCTTTTCACTCTTCTAAAGGATACCAAAGTATAAATTACAATAAACTAAACATAATATCCTTTGAGAAGTCTTGGAAATATTTCCTAAATGCTTTTAAGAATCCTAGAAATACCGCAGTTATCAGCAAACTTATTAGTGGAAAACACACTCCAGATTTATATGAAAAATTAGATAACTGTTCTATGACTACTAATACCAACTATTTTTAATTAGGAATTAATTAATGGTGTAAATATAATACTGAACAAATCTTTTTTTTTTTTTTTTTTTTTTTT